CAACTATTTTCGTCACAAAATTGATATCAGAAATTTTGTGTTTCAAATTTTGGTTTCGTCACTCGTTCTTCACCTCGATAGAGGTTTTTTATTTGATTATTCTGACCCCTGCATAGCGTATTTTTTCCACACAAAAATAACATTCCGAGATTTTGAAGAAATTCTGAACCAAATTTTGGATTTTTTTCTTCAAATTTCTTCAATCTTTCAGAATGTTAGCTTTTTGTGAAAACAATACCCTTTTCAAAGTTTCACGTCATTACGCTACCACAAAACATGGCTCCCATAAAAAAATATTTTTTTTATGAATTTTACTTTTCCGCACACACCGAGTGTGTAAGGGGAAAGTATTGCAATGAGTCGACATTTACAACACCTCAAAAACATGTTTTCTGGACGTTTCTGAGGTCAAAGAACCCGAATGGTTGTTGTGGGTAATATACCTCAGAAACGTCCAGAAAACATGTTTTTAAGGTGTCGTAAATTTTGACCCATTGCAATAATTTCCCCTTACACAATAGGTATGTGCGGAAAAGTAAAACGGCGATAGAAACAACGTTACCCATGTGTTGCTTTACAGTGCATTACGTCAAAGATTCTCGATTCGATCTTCACAGACTATGTCAATCTATATTTGAAGAACAAATTTATTTTCAACGATAAAATTATGGTTTTTTTTAAACTAATTCTTCTTTTTGCTTTCACTAGTGACGTTAAAAATGACTGAAACTTTACACAAATCAGGCCCCAAAATTGACCGTTAACTGATAATGGATGAATGAACAATTTTCTATAGACAAAAGAATTGAGATTAGATAAGATTACATTTTCATTTATAGAATATAAAGATTAAACGAAAGCAACAAACGTCTTCAAAATTTCACTAAAATATATATTACGTGCAATTTGAACCCAAAAGTTTTAATATCAAATTCAATGGAGGCGAAAGTATTCATCTTTTTATTCTTATTCATAAGTGTTATTGAATCAAATTGTAAACGATAAACTTTTCTATTAATATAAAAAACTAAAGCATTTTTTTTAAATCACTTAGTAATTGATTCAAGGCGCTATTTAGAACAGGTTGCAGACAAAATGGTTTTCTATTTGAAGCAAGATCTGGCTGATAAAATGTTTATTTTCGAGAAAACCAAGACTGAAATAAAGTGAGTTTTTTAATAATAAATAATAGTTTTAATGATAGCCATAGTGGTGTTATATTTTTTTGCAGAGATTCGCGATTCGGCAAAACGATTTCGGGCGCTGTAGCATTTCAATCAGGATTTTTAGTTTCAATTGATGCAGCGACACTGAACGAAAGAACTTACAAAGCGATCATAAATAATGAAAATGTGAAATAAGTCAATTTTTTATGAATTAGAATTTTTATCCATTATGACTTTATTTATTTTACAGTGTCAGATTGAGTCTGAATTCAGTTTACGTGGCGTAAATATTGCATATGACGTACATTATGATCTACATTCCAATTTTAAAGGAGATGCTGTATTTCTTATCAGATATGAAAATTTTCATTTTCATTTAGTCATTACACAAATACATAACGAAAAAGCGAAAGGCTTTATACAATATGTTGGTGTGAATTCAGGAGGTCAATATAGTTTGATAGTTAAAATAGATCCAGACATACCGGAAGCACAGCTAATTGCTCGAAATGTTAGTACACAAACGCGTTAATATTTAACTTAAATTTTCTTTTTATTTCATTTTAATTTGTTTCAAATAAGTCCCCTTTTTTCTGACTTTTGAATGAATTTTTTTTCTTCTATTTTCATTGGTGAATATGACGGTGTGATTCGACCGCAAACTTGTGCCTGATATATGTTTCTTTGGTAGCTTCGATATAATCCGAACTTCCGAGGACAAACTGAAAGGTTTTTCGAAAATTGGAATCTGCCCTTGCAAGCAGCTTTAGTAAAGGCAGTCGCTGATATTGATTTTCCAAAAATAGATTATTTTCATTAGATGAAAAAAATAATAGATTTGATTGGCGAATAATAAAGAGTATTGCAGGAGTAGGACGAACTTTTCCGCACGGTGGTAGATGCGTGTTTTATTATTTTTTGATTTTTTCAAGCGGCGTAATATTCATTAATTTAATAGCAGAAGCAGAGTTGGGCTTGAACATCAATGTCCGACTGTGACTGTATGCGTTTTTTTT